TTCAAGCTGTGATTTGTCATAATTGTGATGATTATGGCTTACAGCTCATGAAAACCCCAAGAACCCCAAATCCACAACCTCAAAAAAGTAGATTATTACATGCAATCAATAAAACAAGGATTGTACATAGAACAATATCGGACCTCTCAAAAGTACAAGCATGCATATGTACTCAGTACTTGCTTTGGGCCCCTTTTGGAGCACTTACTGCAATTACTTTTGCACGATATTCTAATTATTCGAGTTTCACCTGTATATTTAAACCACAGAGACTCTTACCTCTTCTTTAAAAAAAAACAAAAAACGAGTAAAGGTATAAGAAGACTTGGTTCTTCTGGCTTGAGTTTACACACTCACAGAAGTAACCCTCTCTCCTATACTTCTCCTAACTGGCTTAGTTAAACACCAATCAATAGAGACTTCCTAAGATCCCACTGGCCTGATGGACAAACTGCACCAGAGCCCATGCCCCCTCCTTTTAGCCTTCCCATAACCTTTTAAACATAACCCCCACCCTCATTTACACCCCTAGGGGGCTAGGTGATTATCCTACATCTGCCAACGTCTTATGGTCTAACCTATTTCTCAGAAAGACAACTAAGAAACGCAGTGTTTTATTGTTTGCTTTTTTCCTTCTTGTATAATACACTTCTGTATATTAATGTGCAGTTGTGTTGTCTCAACTCCAATGGATGTATTTCCAATGTGATATTTTTTAAGTAATTAAAAAACTGTGGTTTCTCTGGATCATTGTTTAACAATGTTTTTGCCCTGCTATTAATAATCCCTTCAATGTGATTTAAAATGCATATTTTCCTAGTCATTTTCATTGCAATCATTGTGTGTGATATTGATTTAGCAAACGCTGAATGTAGTATTATCTTGTGACTTTCAGGATTTGAGTTGAGACCCATTGGGGGTGATTTACTAACCTAAACACGCGCACGCATGAGGCGCGTGTTTACACGGCAAAACAGATTTATCAAACAAACACGCGCAACGTTTCACATTTTCGCGCCTAAATGGCGTGTTTTTGTATTTACGTATATGCGCGTCGTGTAGCAAGCGCCATAGGCTACACGCTGCTCTAATAGTGGCATGCAGGTCTCTAAAAACATATTTCCACTAATGCCATATATGGAATAATCATACACATGATAGATATATAATGCTGCTTCACCTCTATGCCCACAAACATTCCAAAAAACACTTTGAAAAGGCAAAAAACAATATTCAAAAATATGGAACTTACACACCATTGACGTGTTTAGGTCTGCATGAGCCAACTGCGCATGTGTGGACGCCCGTTCACACGCTTCTTAAGCTCAGAAACACAAGCACGCCGGTTTTTCACAATTTCTTGGTAAAAAGAATAAGCACGCGCGACTGGTGCATAGTTTTTAGAAGTGTGTTCTCAGGCAACTATTATTACAATCATTCTGTACTGTCCAGAGGTGTTTGTTAATGGCAGCTTATTTCCTCTTGGCAGTTTTTAAGTGTTCCTCATTCCACTTATGGAGATACTTTCAGTATTTATTGCACTACCTAATTAATGTCCCAAAAACATGGGTGCATCACAGTTTAGACAAAAATGGTTAGCTCATGCATTTACATTCCTGCATTCATCAATGCAAGCAACACAACGTACAGCTGATTTACACAACATCACCTTGCAATTCATGCAGGGCTTTGCACAACACACCTGCTGGGTGTGAACAAACCGCAGAGGTGTATACATTCCACCAATAGATCAGGCTGGGTGTGGACACACTGCAAGGGTGTATACATTCCACCAATAGATCATGCTGGGTGTGAACACACTACAGAGGTGTATACATTCCACCAATAGATCAGGCAGGGAGGGAACACACTGCAGAGGCGTATACATTCCACCAATAGATCAGGCAGGGAGGGAACACACTGCAGAGGCGTATACATTCCACCAATAGATCAGGCAGGGAGGGAACACACTGCAGAGGCGTATACATTCCACCAATAGATCAGGCAGGGAGGGAACACACTGCAGAGGCGTATACATTCCACCAATAGATCAGGCAGGGAGGGAACACACTGCAGAGGCGTATACATTCCACCAATAGATCAGGCAGGGAGGGAACACACTGCAGAGGCGTATACATTCCACCAATAGATCAGGCAGGGAGGGAACACACTGCAGAGGCGTATACATTCCACCAATAGATCAGGCAGGGAGGGAACACACTGCAGAGGCGTATACATTCCACCAATAGATCAGGCAGGGAGGGAACACACTGCAGAGGCGTATACATTCCACCAATAGATCAGGCAGGGAGGGAACACACTGCAGAGGCGTATACATTCCACCAATAGATCAGGCAGGGAGGGAACACACTGCAGAGGCGTATACATTCCACCAATAGATCAGGCAGGGAGGGAACACACTGCAGAGGCGTATACATTCCACCAATAGATCAGGCAGGGAGGGAACACACTGCAGAGGCGTATACATTCCACCAATAGATCATGCTGGTTGAGAACACACTGCCGTATTGGTAGCATTTATACACCTCTGCATTTTTTTTTAACACCCTTATTTCCCAACAGGTGTAACATGCATATTCACCAATATATGTATGTGTGTGTGCGCTTGTGTTTTGTTCAACATCCTCTTTGTATTGCCATACTTGTGTAGAAGGAGCTAGTGATATTTGTCTTGGTTTCTTTCATCCAACAATTTAGTTCCACCAATAGATCAGGCAGGGAGGGAACACACTGCAGAGGTGTATACATTCCACCAATAGATCATGCTGGTTGAGAACACACTGCCGTATTGGTAGCATTTATACACCTCTGCATTTTTTTTTAACACCCTTATTTCCCAACAGGTGTAACATGCATATTCACCAATATATGTATGTGTGTGTGCGCTTGTGTTTTGTTCAACATCCTCTTTGTATTGCCATACTTGTGTAGAAGGAGCTAGTGATATTTGTCTTGGTTTCTTTCATCCAACAATTTAGTCTCACCTGCTGTCAATTAGTGAAACTTTGATGCTGCCAAACTATGGACTTGTATGTATGTTTTTATTTTGTGATGCTGTTTTTAATTATTTCATGGCTTTTTTCACAAAGGTGTAATGTGCATATTTTTCTGTCTTAAATCTTTTTTTTTTTCACACACACTATGTTGAAATGTACAAAAAATCAACTTTTATCATTGGCCAACAATTTATCCTCACTTACTGTGAATATGTATATGCAGCTTTATATATATATATATATACACACATACAATGTGCACATATACAGTGTATGTAACATGTGCATTGTGTGCATGCACACACAGATGGTATATATTTGTGTGTGCATGCATTGTATGTATGTGTCTGCATACAATATACATGTGCCTGCAATGCACATATACATGTGTATTATATACATGATATATGTGTGTGTGTGCATGCGTTGCATGTATATGCAATGCACATACATGTGCGTATCTATGCACATACATATTGATACACATCTCTCTATATGTATATAGATGACTACCAGTCAGCAGGGACAATATGTACTGCTGACAGTTGTAGTTCCCCTTACCATGTCCAATAGGCTCTTCCAACATTAAATTTATTATAATCCTCAAGCAATTTATGATTATGTATGTAGTGTAGGAAATGTTTGGTGTGCTTTATCATTATGAACATCAATCTGTGCTTTTGGGGGACCAAGGAGTCAATTAACCTTCCTACATGTCTTTGGAGTGTGGGATGAAACCCTTGTGGAAGGTGTCCTAGATGGTATTTGAACCAGGGAGTACGGGTGCTGTAGGGCAGTTGTTCTAACCCCTAAGCTGCCCTGAAGGATTACTGTTCATGAATCTTGTTAGATCATGGCAAACAAGTGGCAGAAATGCTCCAATAATAAGCAAGATTATTCCCTTTCCACAATGATATATGCTGGTGGTTGGAGTATTTGGAGAAGGGATTTGCAAGCACAGGGAGAATGTGCAAACTCCATGTGCATGTCACCTGAGCCATGATTTGAACCTGAGAAACACATGCTGAAGGCCAGTTGTCCTAACCCCTGAGCTACCGGGCTGCCCCAAGGGCATTATCATATCCATCCATCCATCCATCCATGCATCCCAATAATAAGCAAAATTATTCTCTTTCCACAATCATATATGCTGATGTTTAGAAGGGCTATGCAAGCACAGGGAGGATGTTCAAAGTCCATGTACATGTCATTTGAGGCAGGATTTGAACCAGGGGCACAGGTGCTGCAAGACAGTAGCTCTGAGCCATGGGCATTGTGATAATGAATGTTAGAATTAGATATTTCACCTCCTTAGAAGTGGCTCAGAAACAGTAAGCAGTTTAAACTAAAATGTCAGGTTACAATAAGCAATATATTTCCATTTCAACAATTATAATGCCATTAAATATCCTCATGAGGCAATCCTTTAAGCGGCAGCCAGGAAGTAGTGCCTAACGCGTAGATGATAACGCGCCATCCGCGCGTGTTGACAGCATTAACAGGCGTGTGCATTACCAGCATTGATTCACGCCTATTAACACGCTTTTGTGCAATACGCCTATGTGCGCACAATTCAGGCGTGTTTTTGCATGGCGTGTTTGTGGCGTGTTTATAAGGTTAGTAAATCACCCCCATTGAGTTTGAATGTGTGATGACCTATCGTGTTTTAAAGTTTGTTATATTTTAGAGCCTCCATATTATTGCAAGGTTTCGAATGCGAGTTATATTTGAAATAGTTTTAAACGTGAAATCTCAATGTCTCGTACTGTCTGAGACCTGTTTCCATAACACACACAGGACAATTTCCAGTCTCTTAAAATTCTTAGAGATATTATTTCATACAAAAAGGCAGATCCGGAGAAGAAAGTTGACTGAAAAGAACATTAAATAGTAAAAACGTTGCAAAATATGATGGGATTTCGGCTTAGTAATTGTTCTCATATGATTTATTTACATTTTTTTCTCTTTCTTTTCTGCTGGCAGGATCCAAATGCTGGAATTGTTCCCAGAATGCAAGAAGGAGGCTCCATACCAAGTGCAGGCCCCGGGCCTACTCCTCTCACAGCTAATGGCTATATACGCAATGCAATCCTGAAGGAGCAAATAATGAGGAGGCAGCAGGTTTGTACAAATCCTTTCTTTTCTCACCACCTTGGAGAAACTTGTTTATGAAATGTGTGAGGGAATTCAAAAGGAAGCCAAAATTATGCTTCGAAAAAGGTATAATTTTATTTCTAAAAACACAAAAAATACAGTACAATGTTGTATTATAATAGAGTGCAATGTGTTGTGGTGTTCAGTTGTCCATACTGGAAGCTTTACTTTGTAATGATAAGTAAAAGGATAATGGAACTTTATAACGCACAATAATTATGTGAGAAGGTCTCCAAGTAGCGCCCCTGGTAGAGACCAGCATTTACTGTGTTACAGTATACAGCAATTAGAAGTCCATTTAGTGGGGAGGGAATGGAACTAGCACTCTCGTCTGCTAAATTGCAAACTTTATTACTCCCTAATCTTTCTAAAGGTCCCAATAGAAAAAGCAGAATAAAGAAACTTAATGTAAAATCATCTCACGTGGTGCTGCTTTTTTGAGCTAACTGGCTCTATTACTACTACACTAGGAGCTGCTGAAGCTTTAAATGGCTGGCATGGGTTACTGCATACAATTTGAAACTAAAGAAAACAGAATGTATTTCTAGAATTGTGCTACAATAATCCTATAAGAGAGGAATTACCAGAAAACCACAACCACCAAAAACAATATTATTAAAGTAAATTGAATTGACCTACACTGGTTATTTTTACACTGAATGGTACTTTCCAACATGTAGTATTACAAGGATAAAACAAGCTTGTACACAAAATTATTATCTCTTTGGGATCCATTTGCTGGTGTGAAACTGTCTATGAAAACAAAACACCATATTGCATGCAACTTTGCTGACCTAAGGGGAACCTGCTGCTTTAGCCTGCATGGTTCATTTTCAAACCCTGCTCTGGAGCTATATATACACATTTCCCTTACTCTCCTGCTTCTGTGCAGCTGCCAGAAGCAAATACCATTCTCTCCAGTTAGAGCTTACACAGAGCTAAAGACTTCCCCTGTCTCAATGGGACAATGCCGAGCCTGCCATCAAGCATGGCATTGTCACATAGACCAACCTTTCTCAACCAAGGTGCCATTGTACACCGGGGTGCCTCCTTGCTTCCTTAGGGGGGCCTCAACATTTTATGATGGTAGGACTGTGAAGGGGGAACTCTGATGTAAAAGGGGGGCTCCTGATGTGCAGGGGGGTTTGTGATGTGAAAAGAGGGGCACTTTGTGTAAAAGGAGGTTGCTTCTAATGTGAGAGGAACTACTGATGTGAAAGGGAGGATTCTAGTGTAAAAGGGGGTTAGTGATGTAAAGGGGGATTCTGATGTGAAAGGGAGAATTCTGATGTGAATAGTGGCTCCTGATTTGAAGGGAGGACTTTGCAAAGGGAGGAACCCCACTTTTTTGTGTTCTTTTGCGTGGGGGTTTCCCCTTACATTTTAAACGGGGGTGCCTCAAGATTTTGCATATTTTTAAGGATGCCATTAAAGAGATAAAAGGTTGAGAAACGCTGACATAGACTAATTTGCATGCTTCCCTATATCTGGAAGTACCGGGATTTTATTTTCTCCCAGTACTGGGAGAGAAAAGTAAAGGTAAGTAGGTGCTACTATGGAAAGGGGAGGAGGGGGGGGGCATTAATGCACACCTACTGTTTATCCCTGCAGTTTGTTAGGTAATTTTGTGTCCATTTAGGATGTTTAAAGGCAACTCCAAACTAGTTTCTCCAAGAAGATACATTGTAACAGGAGTAGCAATTTGCATTGCAGAACTCATGTTATTAGAATAATAATAATAGTTAGGGATGCACCGTTACTGTTACCGTTAGTTAGTCAAATGCCCCGATGCCTAGCCTGATACTTGAGCTTCCGGTATCAGGAAGCCGGGTAGCGAGTCATTACACTCTGCCTTCTGCTAATCGGGAAGCTGGGTGGCGAGTCATTTCATGCCGACTGGCTTCCTTATCAGTGCTCGTACTCGATACCGAAAAACCGGTATCAGTGCATCCTTAGTAGTAGTTAATCACTTTATTTATAAAAATGACAACAAATGCCACAGTGGTCATTAACAGTATATGCTTGTTTGATTTTCAAGCTGGAATTAGCTGAAGGTCCTTTATTTATATATATATCCGCAAATAATACTATCATGAAAGATGCCGGACTGCAACACCATAGCCAAAAAGTGAAGGAAAGGTAATGTACACATAAAGTGTAACATTTTAATGAAGAGAAAAAGAAAGGACAGTATATGATAGTGAAGATCTGGACCTGAGTGAATATATGATCGACTAAATCGTTATATTGCTGGGAGTATGAGCGAGACATTAAAGCTTATTTATCCTGTTGGGGAAAGACCTACATAATAAGTGGGAAGTGGGTGTTGCAAGTAGGAGAGAAAGAGGATAGATAAGGAGAGGGAAGTAGGAATGGGAGGAAATACGGAGGAAGAGAATGGACATAAGAGGTGGAAGGAAAATGAAAATGACAAAGAAAAGACTTAAGGGAAACTACAAAGATTACATTTAAAACTTAATCTAAATCTGGATAACACTGAAAAAAAAAAAAGAAATAACAAACAAAATGTCTTTACAGAAGCCTTATTATTATTAGAAAAAGAGATCCATGGACTCCTTTTATGATGAAATGATTGTTCAGAGTTTATAGCCGGTTGACTGCATTTTCTCCAACATAAGGAAGAATGCAATGGGAACATTTTAGATAAAGAGGAGTAAGATACCATTTTGAAATAATTTTTATGAAACTTCCCAATGGTCTATACAACAAGAATGAGAGCCATTAGCCCTCGAAGCTTGTTCCCTTTGATGCGTGGTGAATGAGATAGAAAGATCATCTTCCCATTTGTACATATGGGACAGTTTTTTAAAATAATTTTTGTTTTTTAAACTCGGCGGGAGACCCTACTTTTTTTACCTTCTTTACTACTTTACTACTTTACCAGTTAATCGTTGAAGTCTCCAAAAAATCTTTGTGGTAAGGCTCTAAAGCAATATAATATTTTTGGGATAACATACATTTTAAACGCTGCTAACTTATCCACTCACCTAAATATGGTAGGCTTTGAGATACCCAAGCATATGGAAAGTTAGATTGCAATAGGGTGCAGGTTTCACGATTAATACCCATATTTAGTATTAAGGATTTCCTTTCATTGACCTTATGAAAAATAGTTTAAAGCAGACCAATACCCTAAAATATGTGTCAATATAATGATTTCTTAAATTAAGCTACTAACAGATTCAGACTTGTTTTGTAAAACCTGTAGTGCATCCTTTTCACTGTCCATGCATTCCTTCGTTTTGCATTCTAAGCATTGAATTATGTTGCTATGAGTAGTTCCTAATGCCAGGGAAATGTAATGTGTCACTCCACTCCACATGATATAATTCATCACTTAGGATGCCACAGGCAATAACACACAATCAGGTAATAGCACCCATGAGCAAGTGGTGCTGCACAATAAATAGGCATCACGTGTAGATACCTGACCTGGAGAGCAGGCCAATGTTGTGGTTGGATCATTGCTAAAATCTTTTACATGAAGTTTGCACTTTGTTATTTTAGTTGTGGATATTTACATGCATTTATACATTTATAGTACTGATATATTTTATCTGTGTTTCAGGTGAAACCAAGACCAAATATGATGGCCATGACATCTGAACAACGCAATGCATTTGTAGCACAGCAAATGAACCAGTTTCAGTGTAAGTGGGAAAACAGTTTAAAGCAAGTATTATGCTTTGAATGTGTACACAGAATAAACCTTTTACTTCAGACTCACCTCAATAGTCAATAGAATAAGACGTTGAACTATAGTCAAGCAGTTAATTACACCACTGAAATACATATATAGGAGCTGTTTGACATCTCAGTTTTTTTTTTCCAAGTGCACTTAAATATTTGATTTCTGAAGATACCTAAGGAGGATGGTGAAAAGAATTCTATTATCCTTCTGGCATATAAAATATTACATTCAGTGTGGTTATAATGTAAATAATACCACAAAGCTGGAGGGGAAGGTAGTTTAGTTTTTATTTTAGTTTTTCTAATCCTTTTTTAATGCTTAACCAAAACATCAGTTACCATCTAAATGACTCACCCATCCTATATTTCTAGCACTGTCAGGAGCACTGTCAGGAAAGCATGCATACAAATTAGTGACAGGACTAAATTACTAATAACTGAAAACAGCGAGAGCAAAAAACACCAACCTACCCTATTCTCCTGATTTGCTGTCTACTGTCTGCTACAAAAGCAGAAGTACACTTTCATGTATATTTTGTGCACATTTATAGTTGCATATTTCAAGACAATGGGTGATGATGACTAATCGAAAACGTAGGTTGTTATGCAAGAGTGCAGTTGGTCAACTGTTTAGTAGAAATCTTCTGCCTAAATATACATTTTAACATGTGCTTTTTCTTCTGCAGCTATTCCACAAAATCTTCGTACAGATTGTGTTCAGCCCATGCCAACACCTCCACAGAGCCACCGAATGATGACATCGACACAAGGGCTGATTCAGACCAATATGGGAAGTGGAATGACACCATCAACAATAAATCAGAACAGTGGGACAATGGTAATGATTCCGCACAACACTGGTAAACCACAAGGAATCTTCCCAGGATCTTCAGATTTTAATATGCCACTTAGGCAGAACCAGAATGCACTGAGCATGCCCTCTGGTTGCCAAACTGTGCACAGCCAATCCACTGTTCGGCCAGGAATGACATTGTCTGGATATACTTCCAGCTCACTAATAACCCATTCTGGAGCTCAGCAACACTTACGACAGTCCAACATATCAAGAATTCCCAATGTCTATGTCAACCCTTCTTCTCAGATGTGGACTCAGACTGGTGTTTCAAGAATACCAGGTCAAACCCAAATGGATCCCAGCATGCAGCAATTTTCAAACAATCCACTGTTCACCAAACAAAATGTCAGACCAAACATGGTGAGCCAGCAGTTTCCCCACCAGGGAGTGGTTCCTCCTAACCAGATTGCTCCTGGGGTTCAAGTAAGACAAATGCAAAAACTTGGTCTGCCCCAGGCAAATCCAGGATTAGGGTCCTTGAACAATCCTAACCTTGGAAACAGTTTATCCAGAGGTCAGCTAGCTTCTGTCAATGTAATGAAAACCATGCCACAAGGTGTTTCCACATTTAACCAAATGAACCCTGGTCAGCTTGGTCCACCTTCATATGGTCCAACTTCAGTCCAAACCCCTGAAACTTTCGAAAGACTTGGTTCTGGGGCAGATCTCCACCAATATGACTTTGTAACAGCACAGAGTAACTCTGTCTTATCTGCTAACTGCAATGAAGCAGACTTTATTGACTGTCTAATGAAGGGAGGTCATACCAGCAGTACTGACGAAGACTGGCTAAACAACTTGACAATTCTTGATGACATTTTAGGGCAGCACAGTCAAAATCCAGGACCAGTGTAGCCCAGGGTGGTTCTAACATATCCATAAATCACGTGACTTGAAATACGTGGTTAATGCTGACACTTGTTCTGATGCCTGTAAATATTTAAATATTTTTTAAATTATGTTTTTTTTTCTCCAAAAATAAATAGAAGTACTTCTACTTCTGTGTGTGATTGTACATAAAATATAGCATAATGTTTTGTTACATTATAGGAATTTCATTTATAATACCTTGTTTTAAATATGCAAATATTATCATTAGTTCCAGTAATACTATGTATTACAGTCTAAATAACTGTTATGTCTTTTCACATAACAAAAGGTAGGGGTGTCAAAGCAAACTGAATACAATGCATGCCATACATTTGCCCTTTAAATACTTGATATATTAAATAATAAACTTTCTGTAGTCCAGCTCCAGGAACAGAAGCCTGTGAGCGAAAAAATTAAATCCGGATGCCAGGTAAAATCTTGCCACAGATCTGGTATGCAGGATTTCCAGCCATCAGTAAATATACTGGCAGTCTGTTAAAAAAATGGCCTTGTATATGCAAGCATATCAATGCAGTTGTCTAGTTTGGGGTTTTACAGCTCTCTGTACATTAAAATGTACAACATAAAGTTATACTGAGGTCCACAGACCTGTTGCAAAAGGGTGTTGAACAAAAGTGTTTTGTGCCTTGCTAATGGGAACTTCCCACAGTGTTCAGCAAGTGTTAAATGCTGCAATAGAGTTTCTTGAAGAGGTGTACAGTTGTGACTGTATGCTTAAATAGGGTGATGCAAGCAAACATGAAAATCATTTTTGGAAGGTAAATGATCCGTTTAAAATGAACTGTAGTTCGTTTGTTTTTAGACATTTATCTGTATAATGTCTATGGGTAGCTTAAACTAGGAGGCGGTGGAGTCTGTAAAATAATTGCAGTCTTTTTAAGCTTGTAGGGATCACATAGGAAACTCTCATGTTAAAAATATCCATTTATTTTGTGACTTTTTACATTCTACTGAGCAGATCAGTAAAAATTAAGGAAAAGTGGTTCTCTGTTCCAACAAAGTTACTTTGCTCTCCATATTTATTTGTGGTGTAATACTGACATAATTCCCCCAGTCCTTTAATAATTCAGTAGTGGCAGCTAAAGGTCTCTGTGTCAGCCCTGGTATTGAATGTAACGTAATCAATGATTTTGGGACACTGCAGGTTTCCTACATGCCATGACCCCCTGTAGCTGCTATTTTGGACCAAAATGTGGTGCGATGCACCATAGCTGTCAGTAAAAATGTATTTATGGGCCTGGCATCCCTTTCAGCAGCCTGACAACCCCAACAGTATGTTGTTATAGAAGATGCATCAATGTTTTATAGAAAATTGTCAGAATATATGAATAGGAAGAAAATGGATCCCCAGATCCAACAGGTGCCAACTCACAAGGGCCTAGTGTGCCTTGTAATGATTGCAGCCTAGTTTTAAAAAAAATGGTGTAACAAAGGTGGCATAATGGTATGAATTACATTTTGTATGCCCGTATGGAAATATAAAACCAAAAGCCAACCCGATTTAAATGCTCGTCTAAAATTTGATTTCAAAAACATTGTAGGTTTGCACACCTCTGTATATATTTGTAGCATAAAGGTGACTGGTTCCTGGTTTTAAGGCTTTTTTTGCAAGTATGTTTTCCTGAAAAAAAGGTTTTGAAGAAAAAGCCTAGACATAAATTTTGTCAATTTTGTCTATGATGTTTTCTGTCAGCTAATATTGTCCTATGTATATTTAAAAGTCTGTTTATAAAAAAAATCCACTGTACTGTAAACCTTTAATGTTCATACTTTTGTGTAATCATATTTTAATAGTCGCACCATATTTCTGTAATACATTTGTAATATAATGTCTGCATCAAGCACAGAATCAATGATGTTTTTCTTCATACCATAATAAAGAGCCAGGGAAAAAAATATGTCTGTGTTTGGTTAATACAGCAGGGCTGCCTAAAAGTTCATATGTTTCTATTGCCAAAACCTTTTTTTTTTTAGTTTTGAATAATGTATGGATCAGTGAAAACTCCTGTAAGGTGAATTTTGCTTGTATAAAGTCTAATTAGAACTCCAAACAAACAGGTTTGGTGCTCTCATTAGACTTTATACATCTGAATCTTTAAACCTAGGCCCCTTGCTTGAGGGACACCCAGTTTTTTGTCAAGAGTAGCCCTACCAGAGGCAATGGGCCTTATTGTGATCTGAATGATCTTCTGACCATTTGAATCCAGCACCTTATTTCTAATTGTTCTTTTGCTGTAGGGGGCCTTTCCTTTCTATCCCAAAGACACAACATCTATCCAACGTGAGGGAAATCATGTCTTTAAATGTTGTCCTTGGAACATGTGCCCCTATTGGTTGATTTGTCCACGTTATAGTCACAACTGTAACATTTAGAATTCACACATCACTTTTTGAAACAATGCTCACCAGGGCAGTTAGAGAGGGTGAATCTCCCTATTGGGAGTGTGGCCAACCAGAAGTGTGGCTTTAGATATCTAGCATTTATTAAAAGAATATGAAGGTCCTTGTACAGGCACATCCAGTTATGGATGGGCACTTGCTTAAGTTGTACTCCTACGATGCGCCTGTTGCCTACAGTTGTTACTATCAGCAAGCTGGTACAGAGCAATGATGTAAAGTCAATGCTGGAGCGAGACAGAACATGGTTTTAAAAGGCTATAGTAAATCAGCAGCACTGTGATGGAATGCAGGATGATAAAAAAAAAGTGAAAACAGTATTTTAAGAGAAAAAAAATGGCAGGTGTTTAATGTATATGATGCACAAAGTTTTATCATCCCATTAGGGTTTAGATCTATTTTAAGTTAAGAACTATATACGGATTGACACCAGTTTGGCTTTATGTATTTACCTGACACTGAAGTAACCTGTTTCAGACAAATTGCTGCTTTCTCTGGATTCCAGACAACAAACTATCCATTACATACATTGCACCCTATCAATAACTAGAAAATGATTGATTCCTAAATTGTAACATTCAGTAAGCAGTTACTGCTGTAAAGGAGAAAAACGCAGCGTGACTTGATAATATACTGTATATATCTTGGATAAGCTTCTCTGTAATTTTCCATTTGTTTGGTCAGCACACCAGCAGTGATGTGGTTAAATGTTATGCCAATAAGTATATCCTTAATTTCAAGTATCTATTACTTAGAGCTATTTTTGCACCTGAAATAAAGTTCTACCTCTTAGCCTCTGGGGTTATGGTTTTGGCAGCTATATAGAAGCACTATTTAATCTTGCTGATAATACTCCATTGTTGAAAAGAGCATGTAATATGTCCATGTACCACAAAGGGCTTTTCGTTAGTAATTGACTATTTGACTAAAAAGAAATAATGCAATTTTTAAAAGCCTTCTAAGGTGAAATAGTTGTTGGATTAGATCATAAATGGAAAAAAAATCAGTTGCGGTAGCCAGTGCATGCTGTGTTCTTGTTAGGTGCAAACTGGCCATCTGGCAATTGTGGTATTTATCATTTTGTAATGTCCAAAGCTCACTATACAGCTCACTATACTCTATGCATATTCTGTGCTTGGACCCCGTAGCAGTAAGACTCAGGGATATACTGCCACATAAACAGGGGTGGGTTGGTCAAATTGTTTATATCAGGACTGGGTTTTTTTTTCTCTCCAGGCCTACTGCTATCACTGACTTGATCAGTGGTGGTTGTCAATGAATAAACCCATCTGTGTAATCATGTGCATTTAAAACGAATGTCAAACAAAGTATAGCAATTCCCTGTTGACTTCAGTGGGGTAGAGTAAATAATCGTCCAGTGGCTATGTTTGACCTGCTTTGGGTTGCATTTCATTGGACCCCGCTCAGATATCACAAAATGCATAAAGGGTCTAGTGACATCATCGCGCTGCCTGGAAGTCCACACACTGCTCAGAATAGAGGGGAATTTGGAATGATGCTCAAACTAGTGCAGGGTATGGCACTAGGAGATCTGAGTGAGTTTAATGTTTTAACAGATGACATTTTTTTTTTGAGAAAATATTTTATTGTTTCACATATTGAAAATACAAACAGCCCATCCTATTCGTACCCAAAAACATAGGCACCAGACATAGCAATGCAGCCGACAAAACAGAAAACAGCAAGGGGAATTAAAATAAAGGGGAAAATTAGCACAGTACCGGTGGATGGAGCTGTTCCCAAGGTAGCTCACCTAGCGAGACAAGGCACCAGATATACATGCAGGGATAAGTCTTGGAAATAAAAGAAAAATAATAAATAAAAAAAGTAAATAAAGGGGGGAGAGTCCGTTAGTGAAACATGGGACCACTCATAACCAGGTATCACAGCAATAACCCAAATATATCTATGTCCCATGGAAAGAATTAGCAACTCTCCTAGACCTCAGGAGTCTGTATCTACTGCAGAATCCGAATATTCTAACCAACTGTCCCAGACCTTATTAAATTTATCTGGGCATCCTCTGTGAACATAAGTGTCTTGGAACAAAGGCATGTTGTCATTAACCAGTTTCTTCCAGAATAACACAGTAGGGGGAGCAGGTTTCTTCCAGCACATAGCAATTGCCTTGCAGGCACAGAACAAAGTCAGGCCTAAAAGTGTGCATTCAGAATTGGTTGGAGCCGAATCCTCCACCAATCCTAGGCATACGGTCGGGGACGGGATAAGATGCAGAGAGGTGACCCTGGATATGTAAGCTATATTATCAAGCTTGTATGCTAGTAGGAGACATTCCCCAAAAATATGAAAGAAATTGCCCTCAGGGCAGGGGCATCTCCAGAAGGAGGGAGAGATGGATTAATTCTATTCAGGCGGTGGGGGGTGAAGTAAGCCCTATGGAGAATCTTAAACTGAACCATTTTATCTCGCACTGCGACTAATAGTGTAAAGGGCCCATCCTAGATCGCCTCCCAATTATCAACATCCAGGTCGGGGATGTCCACTCTCCACCTGGTTTGTAATGTCAGCAGAGTGGGGGTAGTCAATGTCTGTAAAGTGCGATAAAAGCATGAGGCAGGCTTCAACAATCCCTCCGTCCTTGCAAGAGATTCCAGTGATGTAGCGGTGAGTTGAATCCCACCACCAGGAAACTGAGACCTGAAGGCATGGGAGAGCTGCAGATATTGAAAAAGGCATCCAGGAGGGATAAGGTATCTCTCAGTAAGTACCTCAAATGGCACCAAGGAGTTCGCATGACAGATGAAATTTAAAAGGATGTTATACTATGTAACTGAACTTGAAACTGTGAATGACCAATCGTAGGTGAAGTAAACATAAGGCGAATAAGTGGAGTACATTATTTGTCTGCAGGAGGAGATGGTGGATGAGAAATATTGCTGGTAAAGATTTAAAAAAATGCAGTTTTACCTTACTTAATAAAAAAGTGGTCAACTAGGATCTATTGAGTGCACCTTTTAATAAAGGTGGCACAGAGGTGTTTTTATCATGAATAAATGTATTACTGTATATTAAGAGCACAAGAGGATCTTGCACTGTGGGGGTGGACTTTTAAAATAATTTATGTATATGGACACTGTTTACTGTATATTGTGTATTGTTAAAAGGGATTAAATGAATTTCTGTATAATATGAATGTGCATTAGGGTGTATGTACACAAAAACACAGGACATAATATTAGAGTATATATTTATTTTATTCAGTTAAAAAAAGCACTGGGCATATTGAAAACAAAATCCTGTTTGATAGACCGTTGACCTCCCACTCCTTGATTAAAGTGACACTAAACTCTGGAGTTAAATCTTA